GTGGGCACATCTGAACGCAACTTGCGTTCCCTCCCCTTTTTTCTCGACTTCTTGTGGCTGGTACAGGGGAGATAGGTATTCTCACTACTATAAATACCTGTCTTCCCAGACCTGTATTTTTACACCTGAAAAATAAGCTCTCAAGCTATAAATACTGTGATTGCGTATCTCTATAAGTGCAACAGAGTTACGTGATAGGTATTCTCACTACTCACTACTATAAATACCTGTCTTCCCAGACCTGTATTTTTACACCTGAAAAATAAGCTCTCAAGCTATAAATACTGTGATTGCGTATCTCTATAAGTGCAACAGAGTTACGTGAGTACTTCTGTGTGAGCCAGTCGAAAGCTCCCGGGTTAAGACTGCACAGTCTCCGGATATAAGCTTTTAAGGCAGTGTCCTGCACACGTCACAGAAACTATCCTACATATATCCCAGCCTATATCAATTGTAGTCCATAAAATCTACGACATTTTTATAAAAACCACAACATTTTGACACCAACAACTCGTATTATACTGATGTCTACTTTGAGTTGGGGCCTGGGGGCAACTTTAAGAAAGAACATCGAACCTGGAGTGAAAAGTTAAGAGTTCGATCCTTAACTTTGAATATGAAACCGTCTTAAATCTCCAGTGAAGAGGATTAGTCATTGTGTCCGAGGGTTACAAAAAAAAAAAAAAACTTTAAGAAAGAACATCATATCACGGAATTGTAAGGGCGGGAGCCTTGCAAGTTGCAAGTTGCAAGTTTTGAATGAGTTGATCCTCGTTCGCATCAAGTAGTAAACATCATCATCATAAAATATAAAGAATAGAAAAACATTTGGAGTAATCAGGATGGTTTTACTTATAAAATAAATCAAAGCACAATAATATATAGCCAGGCAGGCAGGAAGACGCTTTGCTTCTAATGTTGTGTAGATTAATGACCAAAATGGGGGTATATGTTCCTTCTGACACCTACATGAATGGAATAACAGTTTCAAATATATAGCCAAAGACCAAAGTGGAGTGGAGGGCACAATGCTTTTTTAGTTCTTCACATGTCTATATAACTTAACAATAAAGTGTATTGAAACAAGCTTGACCATCAGGCTCAGGAAAACCGAACTGAGAAACCATTTTCAGTTCTTGAAAAATTAACTCCCCCAAAATCGTCCATATCAGAATCTGAGTCTCTGTAATCCCCCCACTCACCAGGGGAATCCTCGTCAAGTTCGTTATTCTTGGGAGGAACTCTCAGCTCAGATACCGGGACAGGCAGCGGATCTTCGTTAAGATACTTGTCGTGCAGCAGTTCCATTGATGTTGCTCTACCAGCCGGATCATAGCAAAGGAGCTTTTTCACCAAAAGGATTTCGTCAGGGGAGCGGTTTGGTAGGCATCCTTCCAGCCCTGTCGGTTTCTCCACTTTATTGAATGAAATTGTTTTGTAATCTGGAAGATGCACACAACCAGGCCACACTTCTTCAGACAAGTTACCCAAAATGGTGAAAATTCTGCCCAGCTGATCAATGTCCGAACTACCCGGGAACAGTGGTTCTAGGCTCAAAAGCTCAGCAAAAATGCACCCTAACGACCATAAATCTATCTCCGGCCCATAATTTACAGACCCATACAGCAGCTCAGGTGCCCTGAACCACCGAGTTCCAACACATGAAGTCAGCGGAGCTAAATCCCCTTCTTCACCCTCAACATACGAGCTCTTACAGTCATCTTCAAAATCACTGTTGGTGCATGTAGCTAAGCAAGACGTGTTTCCATCCTGGATACTACCTTCTTTATCAAAATCATCAAATCTGTACCTAAACTCATCTGAATCTGCAAATCGGTCCTCTTTGGCCACATTCCGTTGATAATGATGTGATTGACCTTCTCTATAAGCATTCTCCATTACAGGAACGAACTCAGGTGTATACATTGGGGTTGGGACATTCGGGGAGGCTTTCCCATAAGGTTGTCCATCATCAACAGCAGCAAGCCCAGGTGCCAGTAACATCCTAGCCTGTGTTGAAGCAAACAAATCACAGTCATAAGTGCGTAAGCAGGGGTCTTTTACCTGATCTGCCATTAAAGTTCAGGTCTATACTAGGAAAAAAACAACACAATGTAGACATGTATGACTCGAATCTCATTCATTCCACATTCAATAATACTAAAGTAGCATCGTCATTCAGGTACTTCACTACAATACCCATCACAACCCCATTCCGGTAGCTCTTAAAAAGTAAAAGAAACAATCTTTTAGAATGGAAAACAGTTGTTTATCTTTGGTTTTTATCCGGCTCCCATCTTCCACTTTTGTCAGCAATCAATCAGAGATGTTTAAGGCTGAAGGAGCACTGCTTTACAACCAATCTCCATACCAAATAACATCAAGAAAATACCTCTTTTAAGCAATAGCTATATAGCAAGTAATTACATTTTCCATGAAAGAAAAAGAACTTTAAACTTTACTGAACCCCAACAACCCTTTAATATCATCTCTTTGCATGCATGTGATAAGTAAAGTAGTCACTAAAAGACCATTTCTTTGCAACACATTCGATATTTCCACTGATTTATTAACTTACAAACAGGCCACAAGAATCGAATCAAATCAAATCATATTTCCCATGGCAAAAAAAGGAAATGTAGCTAATCACATACCCAGAAAGCCTTGATTGACTGACTAAGTATTTTGTCAGAAAAAGGAATATAGAAAAACCAAATAGAATTTATCAATGAACAAAAAAAGGGAAAAAAGAATAGTGACCTGTCCGAAATCGGCTAATTTGAGAATCCCATTGTCAGAAATCAACAAATTTGAAGGCTTCAAATCCCTATGCACGATAGAATTCCGGTGACAGGCATCGACGGCGCTCAGAATCTGAACCATCCACCGCTTGATCTCGCCGACGGTCAAGCCGTTGTCCCAATTCTTCTTGGCTGCTTTGATCACAGCTCCCAAGTCTGTGGGGAGGAACTCCAGGACCAGCACGGAGTCCTCGTCCTCGCTCCAGAAGAACTCGTGCATTACGACGACGTTTGGGCAGTTCTGGAGGGTCTGCAGGGCCTCGATTTCGCGGAGGGCCGACTGGTAATCGTGGATTTCCTTCAAGGCGACGGTGAGTGAGTCGGATCGACGACGGCCTCGATACACGTCCGAATACGCACCCGACCCGACCCGCTCGAAGATCTCGTATTTGATCGTGATTTCTTTACGAGTGTGGATGCTCCAGCTCTTGGAGGGCGGAGAATCCATTGGGGTTTCTTTCTCTCTCTCTTGTTTCGTTATAAGTGGCGGTGCTCACGGTGGTCGTCGTCGGCGAGGGAATGATTCTTTCTCCGATTCTAGAACGTCTTCCGACGAATTTAAGAATGAAAGATGTTATTTCCACGTGAGCTTTGAGTGACATCACGTGCTTTTGACATGGCGATGGTTGTAATTTGGGCCCTATTGGCTATTGGCTATTGACTATTGAGGCTTTATAACTTTATATATTATTGGAATAAGGGTCAAACACACAATAATGCAATTAGCCACTGAATTAAAACACCAACTGAGTCTTTAAATTAATCAATTTTAAACAATTTTTACAATTTGAAAGTTTTCAATAGGTCATCCTTCCAAATTAATTATTTAAATTTAAGAAAAAAAAAAAAATAGGACTCCGACCGGAGACAAAAAAACCTTCTTCGTCTCCACGGCGCTATGACTTGAAAGCGGAAGCACAAATAACATTGAATCGCGTGTAAACGAAATTAATCAATTAAACAATGTTCATGATCATGAATTTTTAATTAAAAATTAAACAGAAGTAAAGATAAAACTTATTTGTTCGGTTGGAGATGTAATATTTAAATTGACTTAAATTAAGAATGCTTCACCTCTCTGATTTGTATGACTTAATCACCTCCGGATAATATAGAGACTGGAAACCTTAGTCATTCTTAGAGTTTTTCGGGTATTTATTGATGTGATGGTAAACCTTCCTTCAAGAGGAATGAGAAACTTGTTTTCAAAAAAAAAAAAAAGAAAAAAAGAAAGGAATGGAAAACTTTCTTTTAGAAATATAAATCTCTTTAGGAATATGAAAGCTTCTTTAGGAACCCATAACATTTTTTCATTATACATCTTTTAACTCTTATAAACTTAAATTTTAACAGAATGTGAGAGAGAAAATTTCACCCGATAATTCTGCATTTACACATCACTAATCATCATTGTAAATACCCAAGACCTTGTGGTCTAATGGTACCAAGTTGCTTCTCTATGTGGAAGGTGATGGATTCGAGCCTTGGTGGAGGCGTAGTAGTTTATTGTATCTTTCGTTTTCATGCTACTACACAAAAGTCAGAATTATCATCATCTTTCTAATCAAGAAGTTGAAACTTGAAACCAACCCTCTTCCTCTTAATAAATGGCATTCAATAATATTCCCATAGAATCATAGACCAATATCCTTCAAAGTTGAAGCTGGGGGAGTGGAATTGCCATTTATGGCCATTCCCCAACAACTTCAGAGTTGAGAGCTGGTCTTGTTGGAACTCTCACTCACTGGATGGCCATGGCAGAGGTGAACTTGGAGCCACCCAACATTCATTCATATTTATAATTTTGGAGAAGTGTTTTACAATTAATTGATAGCCAATCACCAAATTATGTGTTTTCAAAAAAGTGATTTACCAAACACCCAAACTAGCTAAAATTTCACTCCCTTTTAACTTGTGATATTGTGATGGCTTAAACTACAGTGAGCTACCCTGTCACTTTTGGAAGATTGTCTTCAGATCATAAGAATGATTGCCCAAATTATTGATTGCCATACCTCTAACTGTTACAGAGAGAGAATGAATGAATGAATGAATGAATGAATGATCATTTGGCTATTATTTATGCTCTTTTTAAACATTTTTACTGATTCAAAAGTTTCTTTTCTTTTGCAGTAATAATGACCTTCATCTGAAGGGTATATATCTCTCTGCATTCCATGCATACCAGATTTCTCTTTAGACTTAAAAGAGAGATTCTAATTCAACATTTGTGCTTATGTAAATACAAAAGAATTTGCTTGTGAACATGGAGAGATAATCGCAAGTTGCTCAAAACACCAAACTGAAGCGCATAACATAGTAATAAGTTAACTAGTAAGTAATTCACAGAACCTGAGAGAATCGACAATTCTCTCCTACTTTTGATCATAGATAAACACCTACATTCAAAACGACATTGCTTACAAAACATGCCCCCCTACACGTTGAGTCCGATTCCAGCCACCTGTGATGAATCCGAGCTAACCCTTAGCCCTGAAGCTTCCCTAAGCCACACAACCCCCGCAGACTATACCCCTCCTGTCAAAGTAGAAACGAAAAAGATAAATCCAAATTTGTCACGCAAACAAACATACATAAGCAGCATCATATATTCATCACTCGAAGAAGGTTCAAAGTACTACTTTCTCGTCAATTAGGTGAAATTTCGGTTAGTTTTATCCTCAATATTCTTAGTATATATGCATCTATCCATTCAAGCGATACTTACACTATTGAGCAGCCGGTGCTTCTGCGCCTTTTCTTCCTAGCCGTTTCCTTCCTCCTAGGTGGTTGTAGCACAACCTTAATCGCAGTGTCGAATACTGCTTTCACATTCTACAACACCATTACGAGAAGGGATTGGGGTTTAAACTTATCAAAATACACATAAAATTCGGTACGCAAAACAACACTAAAAAACCTGCTGAGTTTTAGAGCTACACTCTATGTATGCTGCTGCGCCAATTTGCTTCCTTAATTCCTCGCCCTGCAATTTTTTTTCCAAGTCAAATTAGACGCTTACATATAGTTACTTTTCAAAGGTATGGCTAAATGGAACCGAGATACGCACTTGGGCTGGTGTAATAACGTTAGAACCCATATGATCAGCCAGATATCGATTGTCATCACGAAGATCTGTAGCAAAGAACCATGTCAAAAATGCGATCTTTTTTTCAAAGATATTCAATGACTTAACTCTGCTAGGATGCGAGCTCGGGTGCAATAAGTGTATGGTGTACCTAGTTTCGTTCCGACCAGAACGATTGGAACGTTGGGCGCAAACCGGCGAAGTTCAGGCATCCACTGAAAAATAAATTCGGAATGGCAATGAGCAGATAATAGAGAAACATAGTTTTTTAGGAATCGAACTTTTGGTTACCGAGTCAATAGCCCAACAAATGGTTTATGGTTAGATTATATACTATGTACCAAAATGACAGTTCTTAAACATCCAAATGGCTCTTCAGTTTAGACAAACACCTACTTCTGATATGTTCATCAATGTTGGATTTATGGATCAATCCAAACCCTAGTGCAGAAAATGGCAAAAGATGAGGTAAAAAGTATTACCTTTTTGAGAACATTTTCATAGCTTGCCCTGCTAATTAAAGAGAAAGCCAAAACAAATATGTCTGCTCCTCTGTAACTCAGTGGCCTCAACCTGCTGTAATCTTCCTGGCCTTTAAATCAGAGATTAAAAGAACCCAAACTCAGAACCCTCAAAAAAGAAAAGAAAAGAAAAGAAAAAAACAAAACTTTCAAGTGGATATACCAGCAGTATCCCATAATCCCAGGTTAACAATGTTACCATCCACAGCCACATTTGCACTGAAATTGTCAAACACTGTTGGAATATAATCCTGAAAAAAACATCCTCAAAAGTGAGGCAAATGAGATAAGATTCAAAGGGCATTTCCAAAGTAGGGAGTTTCTTGATATGGGGCATTTTCACACAACCAAACTCCCAAAAGAGAGCATTACAAGAAAAAAATTTAATTTTCAAGAAAGCTAATAAACCAATGTTACAGTAAAGATGGTAACTTTATGGTTTCAGTTTGAAGCCCAATATGAAGAAATTTGCAGAAAATAGAAGAAAACTCAGAAAGAGAGGCCTGGGATTCCAAGATAGGGTTGGAAAAGACTTACAGTGGGGAACTTGTTACTGGTATAACAAATGAGCATGCATGTCTTCCCCACAGCCCCATCACCAACAGTCACACATTTGATGAACTTTGAAGCACTCATCATCCCCCTCCTCTCAGATTCTACAGTAATGCCCTTCACACTCAAAGTCTTCCTTATAAGGTTAACCAAAGTTGAAAAAAAGAGAAAGTTGAAGAAGAAAGGCACAAAAGGGAGAAAGGAAAAAAGAGAGTTTCACAGAAGCAAACAAGAGTGAGAGAGCATCTTTAGTGAGGAGGCTGTGAAGTTAGATATAGTTGCTACTTGGTAGATAAAGACCACAGAGAGAGAGAGAGAGAGAGAGAGAGAGAAACAAATTTCAAGAAAAGAACAGTAAAGAAACTACAGCGAGAAAGAGAGAGAGAGGGGCGAGTCAAAGGGGTCAGTGTAACTTTTTTACGCAGTACATGGCACTCAATAAATTTGAAAATCTGAGTGAAGAGGAAGAAAAAAAAAGTTTTTTTTTTTTTTTTTTGAATTTGCAGAAAAAGCTAACATGGGGGGTGGGACCCTTGTGTTCTCAAACGGCTCCAAACGACTTTGTTAGTTCTATTATAGGCAGCTGGGTTCCATTTAATAGTGTTTGTACAAGCAGATATTGTTAATTGTTTTCGCTCGTTGTTGCATTCGAATTAGACACATCATTAACTCATCCTCCAATTCATTTTGACCATTTCAATACTGTTTTCAACATCCTTAACACAACACACTAAGCATCTGAAAGAATGTAAATCATGATAACGAACACAAATACTTTTATGAAAAATTTTTGACAAATTAGTTGTTTAAAGTAATATACTCTTTTTATTTTATTTTGTGTCTGGTTTGGTTAAGAATATGTTTAACGAAGGTTAAATCCCCAACCCCCGGCCCGACAGAGCATCTGAGATGATGTAAATCATGGTAACTCAACTGAACCACGGAGGCTTTTTAACACCTCGGCCCGACAGAGCATCTGGGAGGATGTAAATCATGGTAACTCAACTGAACCACGGAGGCCTTTTAACACCTCGGCCTGACAGAGCATCTGGGAGGATGTAAATCATGGTAACTCAACTGAAGCACGGAAGCCTTTTAACACCTCGGCCCGACAGAGCATCTTGAAGGATGTAAATCATGGTAACTCAACTGAACCACGGAGGCCTTTTAACACCTCGGCCCGACAAAGCATCTGGAGGGATGTAAATTATGGTAACTCAACTGAACCACGAAGGCTAGACCTTTGTTTACTGCACACAAACCCCCTCACTTTGAGAGGTTGCTCACACACTGCCGCTGGTGAGACTCGACCCTGATCATTTTTCTCATACTTCACCCCTATGACTAGTTGAGGTTTCTATGCAGGCTTGATTATCCATATTCCAAACACCATGAATGAATGTTATAATTTTGTAACTTCACATTTTTAGATTACCTATTATAAATTAGAGTAAATACTCAAAATGGTCCCTTGACTATAGCTAAATTCACAAATTGGTTCTTAACTTTCAATTTTAACTAATTAAGTCCTTAACTTTGTAATTTTAACACAATTTGGTCCTTCGTCTATTTGACCGTTTGTTGACCGTGATCTATGAGGATATTTATGTAATTTCATGTGAAAAGCTCAAGAGAACGCTGTGCTCTTGGAGGTAACGACGTCGTTTCGGAGGGGGAAGTGCTTCTTCGCTTACTGCTTGGGGATCACGAGCCGGTTAAGCTTGCTGACGTCGCTTGGAGTCACGGCTTTCTCGTAGAGCCGCTCTAGGGATTTCGTCAATCGTAGAGCCGTAGCGCCGGCCTGATCTCGATCGATCTCGCACGTGACCTCCTACTTTTAGTCTTCTTCGCTCTGGTACGAACTCAACTACATTGAATCTAAAGGGAGGATGAAAAAGGCGACAGGATTTGGTATATTACTTTTGGCAATGGATTCAAATGTAACAGTGCGGTCTGGAAATGCAACCAAGACCTTAAAAAACCGGCGGTGGACTATGAAATTACATATATATCTTCAAAAATCACAGTCAACAAACAGTCAAATAGACGGAGGACCAAATCGTGTTAGAATTGTAAAGTTGAGGACTTAATTGGTTGAAATTGAAAGTCAAAGATTAATTTATAAATTTAGCTATAGTTGAAGGAATATTTTGGGTATTTACTCCATAAATTATAATGAGGGAGTTTTGAGCTTAAGATTGTGATTGGGTTGGTGTGGTATACTAGGAATAGGAAAAGGAAAAGGAAATGACAGCAAGTTGAGCAGTCCAAAATCTTGAGCTGCTTGGCTTTTACCTTCGTAAAATCCAATGTATGAAGAGAATAACATTAATTATATGGCGTGGGTGTGGGTGAGGGTGAGGGTGTGTATTTCTTGCTGGGTAAGCCTCAAATGAATTGAAGTTCCCAAGGTTAGGAGGACATAGGACATCGGAGAATGGAAATCGGACAAGACAACAACTAAGGTACACATACAACAGATTCCACCCACCCTTCATTAAATAATCCCCTTCCCTCCCTGTCTTCTCAAAGAAGATGCCGGATGTTGCCAGTAGGAACTTAGCTTAATGATTCAACAGATAGTATTTAGAAGAAGAAATAAATATTTAAATCTCGACAGTAACTGTATAAGAATTATGTCTAAAATGAACAAATATCTTATGCAAGTATTTAACTATATCCCTGAGTCATTGAATTACCTAATTTACATCTTTCTAAATACTTTGTCGAGTTGAGGTGTGGATGATTTTCAACGGATAACAATTGTCACTCACCTCTTCTCCACACCTAATACCTTAACCAGCATTTATTTTGTTTTATTCTTTTCATCTAACTGCGTAGTTTTCTTCAATGCTATTTGCTAACATGTTTCTTATTGTACTTCCATAAGTTTCAATTTTATTTTAATTCTCTCTTTTTATGCCATTTTTATTGGTTAGATGAAAAATAAATCAAAATCATTAACTACAAGCAATTTCTTCTGATTGGATGAGGAATAAAAAGAGTATATCATTAACTATACTCAATAAACAATTAGTATGTTAAAAATAAAAGAGTACGTCTCAGAAAAAATAATCGAATGAACAGAACATAATTTTTAAATAATTTCAATCAAACCTATCAAGTACAAAAGCAAATTCTTATCACCCAAAATATTATGTTTACCAAACATATTTTCTTACAAGAATTTTGTTTATAATAATATCTTTAAAACATTTTGGGCAGATTTGATACAGGACATAAGGACAACATGATGAAATTCAATTTATCGATTTTCACTACTTAAAATTACTCTACCCCTTCTCAAAAAAATTACTCTACCCATAAAGTGATAAGAAAAATCTATATTTACTACTCTCTAGTCTCTATCACGATTAAAAACTACAACTATCAATGAATTGACAGATTTAGCACATGTCAATTTTAGCCACAACTATTACCGGAATTGTAACATGAACGGATCAAGGAGTTGCAGATATGGTCCCATTTGTTTTAATTATTAATTCAGAGAAAATTTGCTATTTGGACTACATCTTACTATAAAATGCAACTTTATTATTGCATTAAAAAACAAAAACAAAAAGAGTGGATTTAGTAAATTATTCAAATACACATCACTCACCTAAGCCCATCTCAAGAGAGGTAGCAGAATTAACTGAGAAGGGTAGGTAAGTAGGTAACAATTTCATATGGACTGATGGACCTAACCCAAAATGGCTAACTTGCCCAACATAAAAATAAAAGACTCAACCAAAAATAACTCATGTATAATTCAAGACAGTAATGCCTTTCTAAGAATAAAGGCCCATAATCAAAAGATTTCTGACAATAAAAACATGAACTGATAATCTGTTCAGGATCAACAAATATATGATTCGACAACATTGCATATGTAGAAAAGCATTTCATATCATAAAATAACCGAATATGTCATTTTTAAGAGCAAAAGTCATTTTATTTCAAAAAGATAGGACAGGAAAGGCCATTCATAATTGCATAGCAACTAAACACAACAGCAATCATAACGCAGCAACAATCTTAGAGAGCCTTAAGGATTTCATCAGCACCAGAGACAGTGAATTCCCCACCAGATTCGATATTAGCGACAGTCACTTTGAGATCGTCAACCAAAAGTGCAAACCTTTTAGATCGGGTGCCAAGCCCTTTCTCTGAAAGGTCAAGCTCAAGGTCAAGAGCCTGGGTGTACTTGCCAGATCCATCGGCTAAGAACTTGACATGTTTGTTGTCGGGGTAAGTTTTTGCCCAAGCTTTCATCACAAAGGGGTCGTTCACTACATGTGGCAAGATAAAAATGAGTTAGATATTAGAGAAGATCTGCCTGGTCAAAAGTTGGAACTGTTTTATCTGGGAACCACAAATTATTAGATCATATGATGATGATGATAAATATAATCAGTCTGCTTCTTTATAAGTTCTACCAACTATCAACATACATGCATACACACATGTGCCAACTATAAAGCAAATAACAGACAATCTATTAAACAAAGGGATAAAGGTGATAAGAGAAAAGAAAGACACAGAATGCATTCCAAAGACTGCACATATTTGTCTCCCATTCTAGCCTAAAAATATTTCAAAGCTCTGTATTTGCAAAACCATTTCTCCAATGCAACATTATCATGACATTATTTTAATGCTTTCAGGCAGGCAACTGGCATAAAACTATACATAAGAAATTAAAATAATGCGGAAACTAAGGTCTAGGGGTGAAAGTGCTGCTTTTAAAATACTTGAGTTTGGTTAAGTTATATGGTACCCAAACCTTGTTATAATTTTTTTTTTTTTTTTTAAAAATACTCAAAATAATACAACATTCAGATAACCAATTGCTTCAAGATCTAAAGCTTTTACTTTCCCACCCAAACTCTTCGATGCTTGAATAAAGTTATTGCCTTTATTTCTACTTGGACTTAACTTCATTTTCAACTGTCTTTTCAAGTTCCATCATAGCTCTAATGAGAACAGCTCTTTTTGAAATTATTCGTGTACATTAAATTTAGTGAATACTTCTCACTTCTCAAGTAAATTTCTCACCAATTTTGAGGCTTTTTGGATCCTAGATTTATATGAGCACCTTGTCATGAACTTTGGTGAGACATAGAGGATAAAAAAATGGAAATTGGATAGAGCAAAGGAAAATCCATTGAGGGATGGGGTGACATATGTGCAGAAGAAGGGAGAGAATAGTGGAGCAGTAAAGACTCAAGGAGAAGGAGGTTCAGATCATGGGTAATATAGGGCAGACAGCAGAGATTTTTGGGAATAGGAAATGCTTCAT